GAACATTTTCTGACCCTAATTCCTATTACAAGCCACATCAAAATCCTACCACTTTAGCATTAATGTCTGGGCTATACTTTAGGCCAAATCCTGGGAGCAAGGTGTGTAAGCTGTACTGTCCTTAGGCTCAGATCAGATCTGTGTCAGGAACTTTTTCCAAGACTGTAGCACTGATGTTTTCATGCTTTCTTCTCTCTCTTTTTTCTTTTTTTCTTCAACACTTCTGTACTGACTAAAGCTGAAGTCTAGTGGCATGATATTGGCTTGTAAGTTGCTCCTGTGCTTGGGCAACCAGGAGAAGAACTGCTGAGCACTTTGTCATTATGAGTTGTGTATGCGCTGGTGGAGTTTGCTGCACAGTTACATCAGCAAAATCTCCTGGAGGGAAGGATTGTTTTTGGATACTTCACTGAAATATTGGCCTGCTTTTTTTCCCAGCTGCACCAGATCAGACCGTGATGGCTCCTGGCAATGTGTTAGGCACTACTACCAGAGATTTAAAGAGCATGAGAATAAGGCTAAAGGACAAGAGTGGCTCTGTTTCAAGGGAGGAGAGAGTCCTGCTCCTAGAGAGTTTGACTTGGTCATAACCTGCCAGTGAAGGAGCAATACAAATGCATGGTTTGACTTTACGTAGCACTCCTTCAAAATATGTCTTCCTTCTTTCAAAATGAGGGACTGCATGGATAACGTACTTAAGTGTTCATCTGTGTAGGTAATATACACTGTAATTTTTGTTATGTGCTCCTAAGAAAAGTACAATGCCAGATTCTAAGATCTTTCTCAGACAAAAAGATCTCTTATGTTTAGGAACAAAGCAATGTGAGTAAGAGAAGATTATCTGGACTGGAAGTCCTTAAAACTGTTTCCTGTTTAAAGGGGGGGACAAAAATGACTCATATGATGGCAACATATTTGTGATTTTACAAATGCTGCAGAACAGATCCTTCCTCTCCATTAGTGACCTAAGAAGCAAGCAGGCATTTACTTTAAGAGCTATAACATGCCTTGTCACAGTGTCAAAGCAGCAAGCATTGTACATGCAGCAGTTCCCTTCTTAAACATATCAGCCTAAAGTGCAAAGAGAAGAGCCATTATTTCAGGTTGTCCTCTAGAGGTCTCTTGTGAAATTTTTACCTTTTATTTTAAACAGGGAGATAGAAACAGGGTGAAAAGGCATTTACCAAAATGTCATGATCTAACCCCAGGCAGCGACTAAGTACCACACCAACTGTTTTCTCATTTCCCTGCAAGCCTGGTGGGATGGGGAAGAGAATCAGGAAAAGGTAGTACTCTTGGTGGGCAAGAACAGTTTGGTAATTCAAACAGGGTTTAAAACCTGGTGAAAAGTAAAGAGAGAAAGATAGAGAGAGGAATAAAACCCAAGAGAAATGAGTGACACATGATAAAATTGTTCACCACCTGCTGACCAATGTCCAGCCAGTTCCTGAGCTATGACTGGCATTTCCCAGCCAATGCCCCCATTTATATATTGGGAATGCTGTACTGTGGGAAGGAATATTCCTTTGGCCAGTTCAGGTAAGTTGTCCTGGCTGTGCTCCCTCCTGTCTTTTTGTGCAGCTGCTTGCTGGCAGAGCATGGGAGGCTGAAAAATCCTTGATATAAAGTAAGCACTACTTAGCAACAACAACAGTGTGTTATCAACATCGTTCTCATCATAGATCCAAAACAGAGCACTTTAACAACTACTAAGAAGGAAATTAATTATCTCCCAGCTGAAACCAGGACACAAAAATGAACAGAAAAACTTTCTCAAACATACAGAGACTCTGATTTAATATCATGTCTGCAAGTTATCTGAAAAATGGTGAGGAATTATACTTTCAAAAATTACTTGTACTTGGCCTTAATAATAAGTTCATATTGTGCATACCTTCTATTAGTATGTAACATAAAGACCAAGGAGAAAGATGTTAAAAAGGCTGTAAATTTACAAGCTCAGAATTGCAACCTCATCATTGTTAGCACAGTGACATAAAAACTGTAGCATTGCAGGAAAAAGGCAGGAATGCATTACAGAAAATTCTAATTCTTCTTTACCCTGGGCAACTGTAAAGGAAGAAAAAAGGGATTTACTAGAAGAAAGAATCCATAGAGCTCTAAATAGGTCATTTTTTTAGAAAGAACAAGATATCTAGGCTTGCAAACTTCTGGCTATGCTCCTTTCTTAGCACTACATAGCTTAACAAATACATGTGATGCAGTATATGGCGTTGGACTGCAGCAAGGGATTATTCCATTTATGTCAGCAAATGTCCATGGAGATTCAAAATAGGGGTAAATGCAAAGGTCAAGGTGAGAAAACCACTGTATGGGACAATCCCGGATGCCTTGTGCATAGAATTGCTTCCACCAGAATGGCACACATAGACATAAAAATTTTAGGAGCTTTCTATCATGATTGTCAAAATAACTCAGTTTCCTTCAGAGATCTATGCCATTTTGGTAAAAAGGAAGTATACTCTTTTTTTTTTAACTGGAAAAGAATCATATATTTGAGACACCTGTTTTCAAAAGCTGAAAAACAATGGAATTTTTGTTTTTGGTTAGAAGTTTTAGGCTAACTTGAAAACTAACCAGCATTGTAGCAGGTCTGTTTCATAAAATATTTCCCCAACTTTAATTCTCATATTTAATTTTACTTGCTTTTATATAGATACAAAAATATATATAGTTTATCATGATTTTGATTGTTCCTGTTCTCAGTAATTTCCACATGTGCAATTTAAAAAAAATCTACTAAAGCCTTAGTTCTGGCTATATTTTGTGGCAATAAGAGCAATGATGAGACATACCTGATTCATCAGATGAATCTTGAGTCAAAATTTCTTCTCAAAGCTAAGCCATGCTGAATTTTTGAGTTTTTCCTGGTACAGAAGACTTACCTGGCAGATTATTTGTAATTTATATTTACTGCTTGTAAATATCTACTAACTACCATTCTCCAATGTTCTCCTATTAATTGAAGGCTGACATCTCAACAGCCCCTGGGACCTTTTTTGTCCTATCTTTGTTCCCAGAACCCCTGTTGCCCTGTCAGTGTGACAAGGTGACGTATTTGTCTGTGGAACAACAAAGCATTTGGGTTCAAATACTCAGGAGCAGCTCTCAGTCATCTGCTGTGACCACCAGACTACAGCCATGACTTTCAAACCTCTGAAAAAGATCCCTGGGAAATGCAATTATTGGCAATTGCAACTATTTTTTTTTTCTGCCAATGGTTGGAAAAGTGGGGACAAAGAGAGGTGGACCAATTTCTTGAAACTATGTAGGAGCAGAAAGCCATTTTCCAAATAAAAAATTATTTTTCTGTCATTAAGTGAGAGCTGTCAAAAAATCCTGACAGTTTTTGAGGGTTGGCCTTGCCCAGTCAGAACTAGTTAGGATCTGGGCTGAGTTGCCAAGCTGTTTTAAAAACACCACGAAATGTCCATCACGAGTCACAAGATTATTTTTTCAATTTCCTTAGGACATAGCAACCTGGCCTGGTTTCATGTATTACAGATGAATAGTGAATACTTTGCTATAAATCTTGGTGAACTGTCTTGCAAAATATCTTTTTATAATGCTTAAAAATGTAAAAAATTAATGACTGAATGCCAAATACAATGAAGCTTTAACTGAGATGAGGGGATTTTTATTAGTCTTTTATGCATAATAAAAGTTGAGTTGCTGATTGTTTTTCATTCAATTTTTACTGAAGTTACTTAATAACTGTCACTTTTCATTCTTCTAACTCTTTATTCATTGTCAGCTCTGGATGATCTGCCAGCCCACATGAGAGGGCAGGTTACATTCAAAAGAATTTTCTTTGGTTTAGGGACATGTGCAAAATTGGCACTAATTGCAGTGCAACTTTATACTTTAACTGCTTCTTATTAGCGACTTAGCAGATGTCTGATGGTACTCAGATGTTCAGAGCCTCTACTGGGAGCCCACTGGACTCAGTGAGATGTGGGCACTTATCTGAGAGGGATCTGTGAGACCAAGCTCAGGTCATGCCTTTGGAAAGGTGTGGAGAGGTGATGGTCAGGGGCTGCTGCCGTTTTATGGCCCAGCGCAGAACATTTGTTGGTCATACCTGTGCCTAGGGCTGTGCAGGAGCCACAGCAATGCCCACATCTCCCTAGCATTAAAAGATGATGAAAAAATCCATGATCCCCTGACTCTGACTCCTTTGACACATCTGGGAAGGAGATGATTCCTATGCAAGGCAGAGAAAGCAGTAATGGAATGGGCTAAAACATGACAGGTAAGGAGAATGTAGGGGCTTTGCAAAGTGAAGATTGGCTTTCTGTAGCCTCCCCTTGGTTTGGCAAAAGGCTCTGTTTTATAGGATAAGTAAAATAAAGATAAACTTCCAGGAAGCTATTCTGATCCAGATCGTGTGGCATTATCAGTCATTCCTAAGCCAGGTGGAGGGACAAACGGCTTGAAGAACACCCTCCTTGGACTTTGTCCTGCTAGACAGCACCCTTGTGTTTGCATTTATTGAGGGGTGCTCTAGCAACAAAATAAGGCACCTCTCTGAGGTATTTTCTGAAGTAGATTCTCCAAGCCAGGGCTGAAGTCAAAGGATTTGTGTGTTCGAATGTGCAGCTCTATGTCTATTTGTGTGAAAAAAGGTGTGAATATCAGCATGTACCTCCATTGCTTTTTCAAGTTTACAGAGTGAAGGTTACTAAAAATATTGGAAACATGTGAATTTGAGCTGGTATTCATGTGATTCCTGTTTTCCATGTCTACTTTTGAAAAAAAAAATTGAAAATTTGATTGTATAACTGAAAGATATAAAAGGTCTTTTATTCCTTCTTAGGAAGGGCTGCCTGTGACCTTTATCCTTGCAGCTACTTAGTGCATGCACTGGACAGGAGAAGAAAGAGATACACAAACAAGGGATGGGAATATTTGATACCCAGGTAAAAGATAGAGTGACAGATATAACAGAAGCCAACTGTTGCATAACTTTTTTCTTGCAGAGATGTGACGAGAACAAAAGGAGGAGGACCATGAATGAGCACTTATTTATGTTTTTGTACCCAAAATGATGAGCGCATCAGAAGAAAAAAAAAGTTGCTTTGAATGGCATTCTTGAAGTATTGGAAAGGTAATGAAGAGGAACAAGGTGACCAAACTGCCAGACATGTTAAAGCAGCACCATTATGCACTTGTTAATTATTATTTTTTTAAAAATCTCTAGTTTGGTTAGGCTGAGGCACCCTTATGCTGCAGTCTGCAATTCTTGCTGTCTCTGGAAAACACAGTCCCACACTCCAAAACCTGCAAGGTTCCTGGGGACTTTGGATGTATTTAAAATGAATGAAAGCTTTTGGGAAAAAGCAACAGAGAATGCAAGCATCGTATTTGTTTCTTTTCTACTGCTTTGGCTGTTCCCACAAATTTTATGCATCCTGTCAGCCTCCCAAGAGAAACTGAATGGTATTTCCACCTCCCCTCAGTAGTGATGCAGCCCATCTGCAGCACCATTTCCAGTTGTGTTCTCACCAGTACAAGGCTGACACCAGAATACCAGAGTCCAGGGAAGGATGACAGAGGGAATTAAGAGATTGGAGCACCTCTCGTATTGGAATCACTGAGGCAGCTTGAAAAGAAAAAAGCTCAAGTAGGATCTTATTAATGTGTATAAATTCCTCATGTGAGGGAGTGAAGAATACAGTCAGACTCTTAATGCTGCCCAGTGACAGGACAAGAGGCAGTGCACACCATCTGTAGTGCAGAAAATTCCATTTAAATGAAAGAAAAACCCCTTTGGTACTGTAAGTGTGACTGAACACTGGCACAGGTTGCCCAGAGAGGTCATGGAGTCTCCATTCTTTGAGATATCAAAGCCCCATCTGAACACAGTCCTGGGTAATCTGCTCTCCTTACCCTGCTTTGAACAGGGGGCTGGGACTAGTCAATATGCAAAGGCGATTTCCCACCTCAATCATTCCATGATCTGTGATTCACTTGAAAAAATCTGTTTTTATTTCTTGCAGTTATTTTATTTCTTGCAATTATACGATATATTCAGGTTGGAGTACACTTCTCCCCTTCTACTCCTCACGTTTCTGTGAACCAGAGTTATAATTCTCATAATCAAACTTTTAGAACACCTGCTTTAAAGAGACAAAACTCAGCACTTGGGATGGCTAGTAAAACCCATTATTTCCAAAGCAACAATACTCATAACTGAAAATGTCTTTTTTTAAAAAAAAAAAAAAGTTTTCAAATTAAATATTGATTTATTTTGTGACAAGGGAAATCAGCTGTAGCAGAAGACATCAGAATTAAATTACCAGGTTTCCCATTGTTTTCTTTTCAATTGAAATTGTGGAATCTTTACAGTGTTTCATTTTTATATGACTTTATGGGGCTAACAGTAATAGGCCCTGAGTTTGCTCAATGACAACAGGAACCATAATAATCCAAATAATAGAGAGAAATACAGAAGAAAGATTTCATGGTGCCTTAATCTGAGAGGCACTTCTTTTAACCCTTTGGTGAATGTATAACATGCTTTTCCTTACTCTGCAGTACATGGTAAGATAATTGCAGTGCTTTGAGCCTAAAAGTGTACTTTGTTCTTCTTCACTTCATGCACATCTCCCTTCATTCTGCAGGCTCTGAAATGAAAAGCATGCCCAAATGGAAGCAAGGGAAGAAAGACATGGAAAGCAAAGTGAATCAATTATTGCCTTCAGCCTTGAGAAATTAATATATTTAACTTGTAACTTCACAAGTGTTGAGGTGGTTTCACTTTTCTCTGAACACTGAAAGAACATTGAAAGCAAGTTGATAGAAGATAGTAAAGGAAGGACCTGGAGCACATATTGTTCAAAAAGTAAAATAGAAGTGAAAAATTTCAGAAAAGAGGCACTCAAGATATTCTGAGTACAGGGACCATGTTTTCCTAAGAAAGATTTTAAAAATTTAAAAGAGTATTTTGATATAGAATAAGAGATGTGTTGTGAAAAATGTTGCAATGGCCTAAGAGGTTCAATGGGAAGATTGACCTTGCAGGGAACTTCTCTAGTGTGTGTTGAGAAAGTCATAGCTCAGAACAGAATTCAATTTACATTGATAAATAGCTTGTGCAGGTGCAGAAGGGCATTTCTAAGGTAATGAGGTAAAACTATTAATGGAATATGTTTTAGAGAAAGTCTTGACAGGGAATAGAAAGCAGTCACACAGGAAAAGCAGAGAAATTTAGCTGCTTGGGAAGTTTATGCTGCAACTGGACAGAGCGCTGGGATCTGTGATAGAGTGTTCTGTTTCAATTACAAAGATGAGCCAAAAGAGCTTCTAGCCTTTCCCATCTTTGTGTTTTATGAGTACAGGTGTTACAGGCATGCAAAGTAGCATATCTTAATTGTCATCTCCAAATCAGACCAGTTCCACTTGTGTTTGGTTTAGCATACTGTATTTTGATGAAGTTTTCATCTCATTTCCCTTGAGGACTGCAGTAGCATTTCCACTCACTCAAGAAGTCAAGCTCTTGTACTGTTTAATTTACTTTGGGTGTAGAGAATTTAAAGTGTGAATTAAAACAATGGAAACATCTTTGTGGCACAGCACAGGAGAGCAAACCTAGAACAGTACAAATAGGTATTGACTGCCAGGGCTTTACTCATACTCCAGTAAACTTTGCTCTGGGAAGAAGGAGCTGCACAAAGAGCTGCTGGAGCCTACAAACTTCAAAGCGAATGACATGGAAGTGCAAATCAATAGAGAAACCACATGAAACTTTTCAAGGGTATTTGATGCCTTCATGTGTTCATTTTGAAATGTTACCTCACAAATTCCCACTAACCCTATCTTTCTTGAACTCACCAGCTATTTCCTGAAAAAAAACCCTAGCAGCTCCTAGGGAATCATAATTTTAATGCTTGGAGAATATGAAAGCTTCACTTGAGCTTCATTTTTCAGTATCATGCTTTCTGTGGAGAAAAGGTGCAAAACTTCCCCCTATTGCCTGCATTATTCCAGTGCAGTCCTGCTGAATCCCTCCTCCAGAACTGGGCTGGAGGAGACAGAAAGCATATATGATCTATTGCATTATTTTGCTGAAGCGTACATTTTTTTCAAGAAATGTTCACCTTGCCTTTTCACATCAGTAACATTCTTGGTAAATTGTTGGAATTTAATTTTTGCTATTACTTGTTCTGGTTGGTACCCTCATGTAGATATGGGGGTCTTCAGACTGGATGTCAGCTGGTGCTTGCCTGTTCTCTAGCTTTGTACTTTGCTAAAAGTTGAAAATAGGGTTGTTTCCCAGCAGTCAGTAATGATGAGATGTGATTTGTTGAAGTTGTAATACTTTCATGCAGGTCAGACCTTGGAGTACTTAGTCAAATCACCTGAAGGAAGACGATTTCTACTTCTTATTACGAAATAATTTCTTTCCTCTGATATATTAGCTGATATACACTTGTGATGCATTCTCTTGACAGTTCTGATATGTAATACATTTTAATAAAATCTCTTTAATCATCTTGAAATTGCCAAATAAAGTATATTATAATGTGACTTGGCTACTACTTTAAAAGAGCATCATGCAAAGAGTGTTGATCTCCTGTAAGGCTCCACTGACTTCAATGAATTTTGGATCAGGCCTGTATTCCCTCATGTGAAAGTCTGAGGGAAAGTACTACAAGGCCTCTCTAATAGCACCCTTTCCTCTGTTAAAATGCTTTGCTCTTAAATGTTTTTGATAAAATATATTTCACAATGTTGTCAAGTGTTGTAAGTAGGAGAAAAGTAAGTGTTTTAGAACATTGATTAGAGAAATGCACTGTCAGGTTTAAAGTATTTTAAAATGCAATGTATATATTCCTTTCTAAGGTTTAGAACTTGTGGAGTCAGTCTTCACATCTGCAATTCACTTTAATCTTCATTTGATCATGTAGAGACATTCACATTTTTCTGTGTTCCAAAGAGTGTACACAGTTGTTTAATCAGAACAAACAACAGAAATCTTACTTAAAAATGTTTATTGTAAAAAAGTGGCTAGAAAACAACATCAATTTCACTTCACACTTTCTTCAAGTTATCTATAGATGCTGCTATGGGCAACAATTTGCTTTCAGTCATAACACATTCAATCATATAAAAATAAAAATATTTACATTATGTAGACATATTTTACAAAATCATCAATAAAAAAGGCACTTGGAGGGGTAATGCTGAAAATATTGCATTTCCTTTGTGCATTAAAAAAAATAATTGTAAAACTCCCATGGATCCCCTCTCTTGCACTTATTCCCGTTTTTTTAAAACAAAAATGAAGTTTAGATGAACTATTCCATATTAAAGTATGGTCAAGCATGCACCAGGAATGTTTGAAGCTACAGTATTACCTTTTATTTATTTATTTATTTTTAAGGCACATGCAGTTAATTTGTGGCTTTAAATTTTTTCGTACATTCTCTTATACTTTCTTCCCTCTTTTAGTTATGCAGTTTTAAAGCATTTCAGGTCATTAATGAAGGCCTTGGCTCCTAATAAAATAAAAAAACACAGCAATGAATAATATTAAACATTTACTAAGTAAACTTGGAATACTTTTTAAGGCACCTGAGATAAATGGTGTCTAGCAAAATTCACTTGGGTAGTATTTTCATTAAACTTTCCACTTAAAATACTGTTTCTTTGGTTGAAATGGCTTGGCAGGAATGTAATGTTAACTTTGAAGCCTTTTCTAAGCAAGAAAAGACGACCTACATTTGGCTTCATCCATAAAGAAAGCTGATAATGCTTCTTCCTTTAGATCTACTTGAAATGTCATGCGTGGCGTCTTACCCCCATTTCAGAATTCACACTTAAGAATGCAAATGTATGGCAGAACAGAAACTACTTAAAGCTCATTTCTACTGACATTCTAAGTTCTTCCACTTGTTTATTTGTTTGCTTGTTTGGTGGTGTGTTGGTTTGTTGGTTTGGTTTCTTTGTTTTTTGGTTTGCTTATTTATTTTTGGCTGAAAGGTAGACGAGAAAACGCCTTTGGATTTCCACTTATCATTTAGAACTGAAGTTAAGAAATGCATCAAGTCCAGGTAAACATTGACTGCATGACTCAGTGTGCTACACAGCAGCCAGATTCCTCATGTTTGTGCAGAAGAGACATTCTGGAGAAAGTTTTGGAGCAATTTTTGCACTGGTATTTCTTCACATCTGAGTGGGTCTGCAGATGAGCCCTCAGATTGGATCTGTCTGCAAAAGCCCTGTTGCAGTGAGGACAGGAAAATGGCTTCTCTCCTACAAAGGAAACATCAAGAGAAAATAGGATAAATCTTAAAAAAAAAGAAAAAAAAAAGGTAGATGTTTGGGACAGGTAAAACTTGCTTTTTTCCTAAGAAAAAAAGAACAAACAGAAATGACTTGTTATAAGAAAAAAAAGAGTCTAGTAATAAGTTAATCAGGCCACAGATACAGCAGCTTTCAGCACTGCTGGCTCTTTTGCAGAATCCCAGTCTATCGAGAATATGTTGTAAAGTGCAGTCTGAAAACAAGCTGCTGACACTGTCTGCATCTACAGGTGCATGCAATACCTTTAGACTGGGCTCAATCCAAAATTTTCAAACATTTTCATAGAACATTTTCTGCTTAGACTCTGTGAATTACTGGGGAACAAGGGCTTTGTGTGAAAAGCAGCAAACAGCAGTACAGACATTACATTGCACCCAGTGTTATACTCAAAACCCATTTTTGCCTCAATAGAAAAAACCCAACCACGTTGCTGATGATGGGTTTCTAACTGGAGGTAGTGCATGCAAAACCTGCCAGCTGCTTAAGGAGTCAGAAGGCAGCCCCTCATGCATTGCCTGTTTTTGCTGCCTGATTTCAGAGTCAGCTGGAGCCTTCTCAAAGTTAGCAATTTCCTGAAAGTTAACATAAAATCCTTAAAGCAAAAGCTTCAGCTAGTGAAATTTGTCTAAAACATCCTAAAATTATCAAGGAAGCAATGCTGATTGATGCCAGTATCTGGCCTGCAGTTATGGCACCATGCTAAACCCCCCTCCCCACTCCCACCTTCCTCCTCTCCCTGCAAGAGGAAGAATTTAGCCTTTCAATGATTCATTTCAAATTCTGTGGTTGCATTTCAAGATTAGTTGAGAAACTATGCTGGTTTTTCCACCTGTGGAGAAAAATGGCAAAAAAGGCATCCCGATGTTACTGCAAATGTAACACTTGCTCTTACCAGTGTGAGTTCTAATATGTCCTTGAAGTAGCCAGGGTCTAGAGAACGCCTTGCCGCAGATCTTGCAGACACAAGGTAGCGTGTGGGTCCTGATGTGCATCTTAAGCGCTCCCAGGCTGACATACTCCTTGTCACAGTACTTGCAGCTGAAGGATTTCCTAGACTGGGCATCACAGTGCAGCTGCTTGTGTTTGGCCAACCCAGAGAAAGTCGAATAGGTCTTGTTGCACAAACTGCACTGGAACTTTTCGGCTTCGATTGCATGAGGGTCTGAAAGCTTTGACTGGATTCTCTCCTCTTCATCGCTGATGGGGCTTTCTGAGCCGCTGTGATCTTTGGAGGAGGTGTCAGAAGGTGGAGGTGGGCTGACTCTTCCCAAAGATGAGGGGTATCCAGAGAGCGGAGAGAGGTCACTGGGTAGTGGAGACGGTAGCAGCCCGGTTGTAGTCCACACAGTGATGGGGTTGTAAGCTACTGAGCTCAGGATCTCTGGCTGTGGGATGATAGGGACTGGGTAGCTTTCGTACAGGTATGGGGATATAATCACTGGAGAGAGAAGAACATTTTCAGGTAAGAGAACCAAAGTGTATTTCAAAAAGCAGGAAAATTTAGACTTTGAGGATTAAAAGCTGCACAAACGAAACACTCAGTAGGGTAATCTGAATATAAGGGGGATTCAGGAAGTACTGTTTCATACATATGTTCTGATGGGTAGAGACAGAGCCCTTGAACAGGCAAGCTGCAGCTGGAGAGTCCCTCCAAGGCAGCATGCTGCTTCTAAATCTGTGCAGCCTGACACAATGAAGCAGTGAAACTTCCTGAAGAATTTGAATAAAAGTTTCAATTCCACCACTAACAGATAAAGGACAGGGAAACTCCAAATGCTTTCTAAGTAACTTGAGTTCAAGTGGACGAGCAAACTTTCACGATTCATTCTGGTCAGCACTGACATATTTCTCAAAACTCCCTCCTTGTAAGCGAGAGAAAATAGAGCCAGCAATGAGCTAACCCGTGCCCTGCAGCCTGCGAGCAATCCCACCCTCCTCAACACTGCCACGCCACGACCGCAGCCTCAGAAGCGACGTGGTGGCACCCGATCTCCTCCTGTTACCTGTGTGAGTGTCCAGCTCGCTGTAGTTCGGCTTCTTGGATGAATTGAAATGCTTCTTGACCAGGAAGGAGCGTGGCATTTTGGAGGCAGGCTTTGTGCTTCTCGCAGACTCGGTGTGCTGCCGGGGGCTGTGGCGGTCCGGGGGCGCAGCGCAGGCACTCGCGGGGTCACTGCGGGCGCATCGGTCCCGATCCCGCTCCCGTTCCCGCTCCCAGCGTCCCTACGGCGCTGCCGGCCCCGCGCAGCCCATCCACTCCCGCCCGTGCAGCGGCACTGCCGAGGCGCCTTGAAAAGTGCTGTAAATACCCACGAGTCAGGTGCAGGGGGGAAGGGTTTTCCGCTCCTCCAATCGCTTCGGGATGTTCTCAAGCACTTTTCCAAAGAGGCTGTTTTTCTGGGAGGGCTCTGGCGCTGCTGGCTCAGGGATCCAATCCCACTCGGAGGGCTTGGTTCAGGTTTCAGCTCCTCCCGCTGGAGACAGCTGTGAACGGGGGAGAGAGCTCTAGCAGAGCGCGTTGCCCTGCTCCGAAGTGGGGGGATGCGGCTCTGTACAACTTCAGCCTACAAAATGTATTGTTCAAAATTCTTGAAAATAAAGGTCAGTTTACTGATTCAGCTGAAATATATATATATATATATATATATATATATATATATATATATATATATATATTTTCCTTTCTGACAGAGACCTGGATAAGTAATAGGCACTGAAACTTCCTTCTTCCTCCCACTCTTTTTTGCCCCTTCTCCCCTTTTCCTCCTCTTTTCTTTTTCCTCTCCCTCTTCCCCCCCTCCTCCCCCATTTTCTTATTTTCTTATTTTTTATTCTTCTTTCTCTTTTTGTTTTTGTTTTAACGAATCTGGTTTCCAGATGTTTGATATGAGAATTACAGTGGGACAAACTGTTCACTAAGAGAAGAAGGGGTAAATACACACACACACACACACACACACACAAGACACTACAAGATACAAAGTTGGCCGGCAGACCTAATGGGAGGCTTTGAACTGAGTGTGTGCCTGCTCCATTCGGGAGCTGCCTTTGAATTGTGCTTAGGGGAGGCTGGAGACGAGCAGGCTGCCTCCCTGACCTGCACCCTTTCAGGCACAAGGACCAGACAGATACTGCAAGAGAGTTCAAGGAGATGGAGAAGCCTTGGGAGCATTTTATTTCAGAGGAGAGTGATAGTCTTTATACAATATGCATACTGCTTCAGACGGCTCATATGAAGAATATTTTCTCTTTTGCTTTAAAAATCTGCAGAATGCAAAACCTCGACCTTTCCTTCCTTGGGAGTAGTTATGTCACTCTTTTGCCTATGCTCTTAGGACACTGCCAAGGAAATTTTCCTAATTATCCAAAGCAGTTAAAAGATGCATAGATAAGCAAACCCCCCAAAATTATAGACTGGGTAATCTAAATGTCTCTTAAATGCCCTTCTCCATTAGTATATTTTAGGACCTCTTGATTTCCTATGAAGGTTTAATCTATGCTATGTATTTCATTTAAGATGAAAGTCTCTTAAATGTGCCACAGAGTGTTCTGGTTATCTAGATTGATTTAGAGGAGATATTTAGTCACAGATAGGTTTTTTAATTTTAAAATATTTGCATTTTGGAAATATGGACAGCTGAGCGCTGTTAAATTTCTAACACAAATTACACTCTGATTGACTCTTGGTCTGCCCTCCCCACCCCTTCCCCCCCTGGTTGTGCGTTACCTCCACCTGCCTGGGCACATACCGGCATGCCGTGCTGGTGTGACGCTGGAGCTCTCTCTTCTCTTGGCAGGAGGTGTGTAGGGTGTTCTACAGAGACCACCCCAGCCCGTTTCTGCAGCAGGTGTTGGAATAAATGTGAAGGTAAAGAAAAAAAAAAAGTCGAATGGGTGTGTTAAGACATGCAAGAGCAAAGTGCTTTGTCAAGCTGCATGACTTCTTAATCTTGGGGAATACCAAAACAAGTGCAGGGAAAAGTTAGCCATTTTCAAGAACTGATTTAAAAAAGTCATCTGTTCATCATCTGACTCTTGTGTCTGTTAATGAAAGGTGCCATATGAATTTCCAAGTGGCAGGGAACATACCCAGGCTGTGGGAGGAAAGGGAAAGTGGCAAAGAAAGGGAGTTTGCAGGTTGCTTGCTTTGCAGCTGGGGCAAAAGGAACAGACGTGGTTTTTCCAGAAGAGAGAGCAATGCTTGCAGAGACACAATATGTTACTTTCCTCATCTCCACAGAAATGAAGAAATCCACAAAGCATTTTTTAAAGGTTTCATTTGTGGTCCTGCTTCCCTCTCTCAGCTCTGTTCCATCTAACAAGTCCCTGTCCCCTGCCAGCTCTGGGAAAGCATTGCATTTCAGGATGTGAGGCATTAGTCTGTATCTAAATAGTCTGTTACATGAGCTGTGATTCAGACCTTGAGCTGGTTTAAGTTTGTGTGTTGAAATGAATGGAGCCATGCAGATTTTCACTGGCTCAGGATCTGTTCTTTTGTGTGTTTGTTAAAAGTAAAGGCTCTGATTCACCAGTGAGATTCTCCCTCTCGGGGCATTTTCACCGGCATAGCACCGGGGTGATGCAGTTTAAATTAATTGCACTTATATAAATCACAGGAGCATAAGCAGTTAGCCCACTGGCTGAGCTGATTGAAGGATGCTAGGAATTGGATAGAAGGCATGTTATTACATGGTTCTGAAAGGATATTAGCAGCACATACTACCTGAGTGAGGTCTGCTGTCAAAAAAAGGGAGAGTCTGCGTGAGGAGTGGGTGAGTCAGAGCAAACAGGTGTTCTGGGTGTTTACGGTAAATGTGGATGAGAGGGCACTTGGAGACGTGTGGCATCCATCCCCACGCAGGAAAGGCAACACAAAGGTCGAGTGCAGAATACAGGAGGTTCCCCCTCCTTGGAGGAGCCAGGGACGGAGGGTGGCGGGTGACTCTGATTGATGGTCGCGCTGCCTGTGGGCAAAGCCTTGCACCCACCTCCCAAAAATCAGGCCTACAGCTTCCCTCTCACATTTTACAAGTAGCTGGTCTTTTAGGGATTCTTTATGTTTTCACTTTGAAAGCTCATGTAAAGCTGTCTTGTTAATGCCACTGTGCTGCTAATTGCCACTCTGCAAAGTGCGTAGGAAATGATCCAAGCAATTCTGCTGCCTGCAACCTTGGCATGTGCTTTGCAGCAACTAAATTATTAGGACCAGAGCTTCACCCCAACAGCAGAAATGGCTTTTTTTTTTTTTAACATCAGATCACTTGTACCTGTGCACAGATAACAAACTGTGAGCCTTTAGTCTCCGCATTTCAGGCAGCTCCATCAAATCCCTTTTCCTGTCAGGCTTTCTGAGAAGGGCTGTAACTTTGTTACTTGGAAATGGAAGGATGCCAAAAATATGTTTGTTATCAAAGAGGGAAGAAGAGCCCAAACTAAGCCATCAATAGCTTAGATCTTCTTATGACAGCATTAGTGTCCCTACCAAGCATCAATACTAGCAAAAGTGTGGATCAGAAAACGTTAAATATCTGGATAAACCACAGCAGAATCAAGAAAACCAGTTTCAGAATATTAAATGAATTATGTTGGATCACTATTCCCATATTTCTCAGTCAGTGCTTTTAATAATTTTGACTGCCACGGGGTCCATGGAAGGCAGCACAGTGAGGTTTGGAAGAATCCCCAGGAGGCACTGAGCCCAGCAGAGCTCACCAAAAATAGCTCTGGAGGTTTATTGATGCAGGTGACGACTTCATCCTGCAAGAGGTAGAAGCTCGAGTAACTCACACCTACAGAATAGCTCTTGTAATTCATAAGCCTCCTACATTTCAAAGGAAAGTGTGAAATGGTTAATATGGGAAAAAGAAAGGTGAGTTTTCAGTAGCCAATTGAATGCGGAACATATCAACTCGGCTTCAGTGTTACCCTATGCTTTCGTATTTCCCTCTCAGTGCCAGCTGATATATCCTGGAAAGTAAAGACACGGTGTGACTTTCAGAAGCAGGAAAACTTTAGTAGCACTAGAAACTGAGGAGTACTTCAAATGTGATTAGATTGGATGCCAGAAAGAAATAAACCCAAAATTAACAGAGTAGAGGGAAAATAATTAGCCAAGGGTGTTCTCTTCCATCACCCCAGTGTATATGCCTTAATAAATTTTGAAACAAATGCTAAGAATGCCTTTTCTTTTACATTTTGATCTTCTTTCCAAATACTGACCTGAACTATCGGCAGAAATGGCAGCAAATTTAATGAAGGATTGTTATGAAGTCATGTCAAACTCCAGTCTTTTAGGCCCCATGTTCAATAAGGTCACAATAAATCCGTGCATTTTGGAAGGTTTTCCACAGTCAAGTAAAAAATCTCCACATTTTGAATATTTTGCACCACTAAATACATTTCTTTTCTAAAATCAGTAACTTTGCTAGAGTTTAGGCATTTTTAAGAGATGGTGATTGAACAGAAAAAGTCTGATTCAGTCTGAACTTTCTAATAAGTCAAGGCCCTTCAAAGTGTCTCTTAAAGATCCATGCCTGTCTATATTTTATATATATCTATATGAAAATAACTTTCCTTAAATATAAACTTCAATTTTGTAATGGATGCAGATTGGTTCCATTTGGATCAAGCAGTTCAAACAGTCCTGGCTTCAGTGTGCCACTCTCCTTCACACCTGTGTAGCTTCACCGACTTAAGAGGGGTCATTTTGGAGTCAAATTAGCCAGCAATGAAGGAACCTGGTCACAGTTCAATTTTCCTACATTGTTTCTACATGAAGATATTTTAACAATGGGCCAAATTCCCCTGTCACTCCCATCTGTAATATCTCCACTGGCTGCAGCTGACCTATTTCAGATTTACTCAAGCAGAACTGAGATGTGATTCTGCTCTAATGAACACAACCCTGTTTTTGTGTGTGGTGCTATAACAAGCATTGGTTACCCAAAAGTGTGTTACATCCCAGGCCATCGCACTCGGGAAAGCAACTCCGAGTTTCCCATACGCCTCTGCGTTATCCATGCGGGGAACAAAAGGATTGGGAGCGCTGCCCTGGAGATGCGGGGAGCGAAGCGAGGCTCGCACGGCGTTGTGTGGTCGGAAGGAGCCACCTGCTGGGCACCGGAGCGGCTGCCGGGACTGGGATGTGGGATGGATGCTCCCGGTACGGAGCCAGCGCCGGGCCGGCCGCCCCACCGTGCGGCCAGCCCGGGAAATGGGGATGCTGCCGCACCGGGATGGATGGATGGATGGATGGATGGATGGATGGATGGATGGATGGATGGATGGATGACCGCCCTCCTCGCTGCCGGTGGGGGCTCTGGGAAGACAAGGACAGGGCACCA